CTCTCTCATCTTTTTAAGTGGGAGAACTTGCACAATTGGTGGCTGACTAAATACTTCTTTGCCCCACTGTATGCCCGGAAAAGGAATGAATATAAATCTAAAAGCATGAATGATTTGATTGTTTATGATGGAAGATTGAAATAATTAGTGAAAGATATAGGGGTGTTGAGAGGTTCTGAATGTGAGATAGACCATTATCTAGTAGAGTCAAGAATAGATCTTAGGAGAAAATGGATAAGGAAGGAAAAAATTGAAAGAAGCAAGAGTGAAAGTAGAACAACTACAGGAAGAGTTATGTTACAGAGTTCCACAGAAGTGTGTGGAGCTACGTTAATAAAGAATATGAAAATGGATGTTTGGTGGAATGATGATTTGAAAAAAACTGGATGAGAAAAAAATGCAAGTGGGAAAACAATTGTTACAAAAATTGAGGATGAAAGAAAGATATCCTTCCAAAGATATTACTTTCTTTGCAAGGAATCTTCTCTCTCTGCAAAGAAAGAGAGGGAGAAAATGCAGGTTTTGATAAAAAATAAATAAATATTTGGAAATAGATGTGTAGGACTAAACAAGGATCAAAATGAATGGAATTTAGAATTAAGCAATGAAATAATTTGGAATGAAACTGAAGTTAGGGAATGCTAGAAGGAGTATTTTAGACATTTGTATGGGAATGATAATGATATGTCGAAGAGTGAAATCGAAATGAATACTATAAGTGTTAGTATCCAAGAAAAGCTTGATAGAAGGAGATAATGAACACTTCACGGTTATGTTGAAAAATAGTAAGGCTGCAGGTATAGATAGTATAATTGCAGAAATATTGAATTGTGAATGTGATTTGCTTATGGAGTGGCTGTGCAACTTGTTTAATGTGTGTATGAAGTCTGTATCTGCCTGATAATTTGAGGAATGTTATTTTTTTTCCCCTGTACAAAGGAGAAGGTAGCAAGAGTGAATGCAAAACTCCTGTGAGATTAGTTTGTTAAGTGTTCTTGGAAGATACTTGGAAGAATTCAGATCAAAGGAATACAAGAGGTAATAATAATCAAAATTTGGAAAGTGCCGTGTAGCTTTATATGGGCAGAGTACTCATATGAAACTGACAAAGAAGGTTTATTGCATGGCTGATGTGGTGGCTGGTGTGGGTCTTCCGGGCTGTGTGGCCGTGTTCTGGAAGTTTTGGTTCCTAATGTTTCGCCAGCATCTGTGACCGGTATCTTCAGAGGACAGGAGCACAGGCAGGAGCGGTTCTCTCTGGTTTATTGCACCTTTGTTGATTTAGAGAAAGCATAGGATGAAGAGGATAGGTTTGAATTATGGAATTTTTTCCCTGCATATGAAGTTTGGCTGCTAAATGCCTCAGAGCAGTATGCGATGGAAGAAAAGAATGCTTGGTGAATGGTTTAGCAGAGAGTAAGACAAGGAAGTATGGATGTTCCCTTATTTGCTTCATGTATCAATGGATAAATGTATAAGAAATGTGGTGAGTTTAGAGGGACGTTAGTTGGGAGAGGGAAGGTACATGGAGGTATTTATGGAGCTGATGCCATATTGTTGGCCAAGAATGGAATTATTTGCAGCAAATACTAGACTGGGATGCAGTAAGGACTATGGATCTGAACATTAATGTATCAATGTTGGCCTCACTAGGTAGATCAGGCCAGGAAATTAACTCCACAGGAAGGCTAAAAACCACCTTTATCGAGATTGGCTATACTAACAGAATCTCGCAAGTCTGCTTGAGCTGTATTTCCTCCACCTCCTTCTCCTTCTTATACTATGAACCAGGGATGCACCTGCCTGAGCCAATTCTGAATATTATCTCATTTCTCAGGACTTAAAAGGCGTTTCAGCCCCTTTTGCTTAGGTAGCGGTTCTTGGATATTTCTGTTAAGGTCATTTCCTTTACTGTCTGTGCCAAGAATGAACGAGGATCAAATTGCAAAAGAAATATATGAAGGAAGAATGCACGGATGAAGAGAAAGAGGGAAATCCAAGAAAGTTGTGGTTGGATTGAATTAATGAGTTCCACAAAAAGAGTCGAGTGCTAAGAACAAAAGGCGACATATGAAGTGAAGTATAGACACAGTGGAAGCAAGGATGGTTTGCAAGGATAGAAAGATGTGAAGAGGTACAGTGGGTGGTGTTGGGTATGAACTGGGTCTAGCTAGTTTCCTTTTCTTGTTCTTATCTCTGCTTTTAATTTCTTTGGCTTATATTTCTTACTCCTTTTCTGCCTTCTATATAATGCTGCTTATCCTAGAAGGGAATACAGGTAGTCCTTGCTTACAGATGGCCTCGTTTAGTGACCGTTTGTACAACAGTGTAAAAAAACATAGCTTTGCAGCTAATCCTTGCATTTACAACTGTCACAGTGTCCTGCGGTCATGTGATCGCCATTTGGGCGCTTCACAACTGGCTTGCAACAGGCACAGTTAATAGAGTAGGCGGAAGTAAAATCGTAAGTCACGGTTTATGACTTACGATTTTATGCTTAATGACCAAATGGGAAGTGAGATCATAAGCCTGTCACGGTCACACGATTTTCCGTTTAGTGACTGCAGCCCTTGGCGACAGAATTGGCGGTCCCTATTGTGGCCGCTAAGCAAGAACTACCTGTAATGTGGTGGGTATACATAGATGTAGCCATGTATTTTTTGAATGTAGAATATACTTCCTGTTCCTCCCAAGGCTGCCACTGACTGAATTCTTGAAAACTTAGCTTCTTAAGTGACTAGGCTGAAAGATGGCTTGCCCCCAGTCTTGTTCTTTGGGTAAATATTCTTTCTCGTTGCAGGAGCAAGGACTAATTCTAATATTGCTGACCCACTTAATATCCTTGCACAAAGGGCTGGACCAGTCTATTGCTGGTGACAACTATCATTCTGATTTCCATTTTATAGAGTTGCTTAATTGGGGGGAATCTAGCAATCAGTATGATCATGTATTGTGTGAAGGGAGAGATTGCTCCACTGACTCAGGCTGAGACTGTGCTTTTGTCCTTCAGTCTAGCAATGAGCAAGAATGGAGAGCAGTGGGAAGCTGTTATGACCACACTAATGTGATGTTTGAGGAGTCAGGAGCCACAACTCACTTCCCAACCTTCCAAAGGCCCATAGGAGACCATCCTGACTTATGGTCACAATATCACCAGAAGGGGCAGGGATTTTTTTTTTTTTATCTTTTTGTTGTTGTTGTTAATTGAGTGTGTGTGTTAAGGCTAAGAATGGGAGGTGGGAGCCAACTCTTTCATGCCAGCTCCTCTCTACCCTTTCAGCTTAGAAAGTGTGTTTCTGAAAAATAGCCATTTTGTGGGAAGGTTAAGGATGGAATTGGGGAGGAGGCTCTCATGCATACCCATAATTTTGAATTAAAAAACAAAACAACTGCACCCCCACATTTCATTGATATATGATCTCTGACTGCTGGGGCCAGTACAGATTGCCACTGCTGTACAGGTAGTCCTCGCTTAATGACCACAGTTGGGACCAACAACTCCATCACTAAGCAATGTAGTTGTTAAGCAAGACATCACATGACCACAACTTGTGATTTTACTGCCGGCTTCTCTGTTGACTCTGCTTGTCAGAAGCTGGCTGTGAAGCATGCAAGTGGCAATCACATGATTATGGGGACACTGCAACAGTTGTAAATGTGAGGGGTGGTCGTAAAGTTACTTTTTCAGTGCTGTTGTAACTTCAAACAACTACTAACCAGGGCA